TTTTGTCTTTCAAGTATTGTTAGAACTTGCTGTCCAGGGCTGGAGGCCTCAGCTTCCACTAAAAACCAACCCTGAGTTCTTCAGAAATTGATGAAACCAGAAAGCCATTTCTTACTGTTTCAGGCAACGGTCCTGTCTTGGTCACACTCTTCATGCTGGTAGGGGATGGTGGAACAGATATGCTGTTTCTCAACAACCCTCCTGGTACAGGGCTTAAGCCAATGCGGGGGCTCCACCATGGACACTGCTCTAGCTCTCTTACTCTCTGCTTGCACCCCATTCTTCTTTGGTGTTCCCTGAGCAGTGATTGCTGCTCTTGGGCTCTTCCCTTCAGCTCAGAGAGCACCATGCAACCAGGGTTTTCCACTTAGACCCTATTCTTCCTTGCCTAAGGCTTCAAAATGTTCCAGGTGTTGGTGGCACTGGCTTCAGGCTTCTGCCAGTTTCTGAAAGCTGTTTTGGTAATGATTTGTAGGGTCACTCATCGATCGTCTGCACAGAAGTCTCCATGTATATCCTGTTTATCCCTTTGCCATAGCATCTTAAAGCCTTTAGTTCATTCTTCCATTAAATCAAACCATTTGTGTCCCTCACACTATGTGGCTTCCTTTGGGGCAAGTACTATCTGAAAGAGGAAAATAAGAGATGAGTATTGTCCATTATAAGAGGATTAAAGACCTCCTGCCCTTCTGGAAGGTCAAAAGACACTTGGGCCTCTGTTCACTCAAAGGCACAAAACAAGCCACTTGCCAAAGGTGGCAACTTGGAGATTACATTCCAAAACGCTTGTGCTGAGCTGCTTTAATGCACTGCTGGGCTGGTTTAGTGGGAGCTAAGGACGCTGTTAGAAAGGCAATATAAGGCAGATGTAATCCTCTCTGTCAGCAACACAGCCGCTGCTCCTGGCTTTGTGTAACGTGGTGCTCATGCTGCATAATTGCTGGGGTATGGCACATCTAAATTCAGCAAAGCTGAGGGGGTCTGTGAGCAGGGCGGGTGGATTCCGCATTCTGGCACCTCAGTAAGGCGGGAAGTGGCAGCATTGTATAAACCATAGTTTCAGCAACAAACCTGGGGCCTGACTTAAGCATGAACATAGGGACACGGCCAGCCCTTAGCAGAGGTTTTCATCTGTGGAGAAGAAATGGGTCTTACTGAGGATGTGGTTCCACTAACAGGCTAAAAGTGTATTTCTTTGGGGGCTGGAGTTTGACTGATCGGGTCTCCCACATGTTGTCCTTCATATGCACGTATCAGAGAGCTGAGAAACGGACTTCCTCTGTTCCTGCTCTTCCCTGCGGGGGGTGGGCGGTGAAAGGGTAGAGCAGAAGCTAAACCTTTTGTGCTCAAGAACAGGAAGAACGGGGAAGAGGAAAGCAGGGTGTATGCAAAACCCCATCGTAGCTGTGGAAACCAGTCCCGCGGTGGTGGCAGGGAGGGCTCAACACCACAAATACTGCACACAAAGCCTTGTGTTTGAGCAGTGTTCAAGCCCTAGCAGCAATGCTGGGACTTTGCCTGGGGAAGCAATGTAAGATTTCAATCACCCTGGAGGCTTCTCTGCTAACTCAGAAAATCACTGTAAATGGATCAACTGAGGCATCCAACTGATTTCTGGGATTTAATATTTTTTGCACTTATGCTAGTATTTGTTGGTGCACAGTAATTGCAGTAGGTAAGAATCCAACTGTTTATGTGCAAAGATGAGTTTCCTCCACCTGGGAAGGTGAGAAGTATCCTTTTCTATCTTCTTTGGTTATACTACCAAGCCATGAAATTATATGACATGCTTTAATAAACTTGTAATTTATTTTAAAAAGATGTAATGAAGTTTCAAGTGGAAGTGTGCTTTACTGGTCACTAATATGCAGCTCTTGAGTGACAGCAGTACACCCCAGGATTACTTTGTGTAGATCTCCAGCTGAACAACTGGAGATCTCTTGAGCAAGTTAAAAACAAACAAAAAATCCAATGCCCCTGCCCTGGATGAGGCTGACATAGAACTAGTCACCAGTGGAGTCCCCTGTGACCCTATGTAAGTAATGACTATACCTCTACTTTTCCACTAGGCATCTAGTATTTTTGTCTAAAATTAATTTAGCTTCAAATTTCAGGTGCTGCCTGCAACCATACTGCTCAGCACAGTGATGATTCTTAGACCCTCAGGCAAGCTTTTATTAGTTCTACCATGTAAAATGCCTTCTCATTCCGAGCAGGTGAGTAGGAAGCCCATAAAATGTGATTTTGGCTTCAGTCAGTGATTTGGCCGTTTGCTTTTCTTTTGATGCTTGATCAGGGGCAGGCGGGACACTTCAGGAAGGTGGATTTCCACCAGTGTGTCAGAGGAGAGGATGCTTTTTCCAGCCGTGCGCAGAGCTCAGCAGGCTCCTGCCTCTCTGTGTCCTGGTGGTGCCTCGCAGCCCACTTCAGGGACGGATGTGTTCACAGCCACGTACCCACTGGAGCTCCCGGGCGCTTCTCCCGTGCTCCTTCCATCCCTGCAGATTTCACCCAGCCGTTGATGATGCTCGCCTCCAGCCTGCGCACCTCTGTGACGGACGGGGGGTCAGCGGGGTTGTGTCCTCTAGAGAAAGCAGAGCAGTGGGGACTGGTCAGCAGCCCTTGTGCCTCTCGCACAGGGAAAGCCAAGCCAGGGAACAGAAGGACAGAAACTATCAGTTTTGTACTTCATATTTATGCACTGGAAAACAAGTCACAGTGTCCCAGCCACCAGGATGTTGGGAAGCACTGGTGGCTGCTGCCCTCTCTGCTCCAGAGACACTGCTCCAAGAGACACTGGACTATTTCACATGACTGATCGCTACAGGCTTGTGCCAATCCCTGTGCAAGAACAAGTTCCAATGGAAGTCTGAGAGGTTGGTGCTGAGTTCTGCACAGCCTGGCTTCCCTGAAGGCTGCGAGAGCCCTGTTCAGGGGAAGAAGGTTGCTCTTCTACAGTTACACCGTGACAGGCTGCTTTAAGTAAAGCATCTCCTGGTTCTTTGGACTGGCCAGCCAAGATCAAACACCCAGGGCAGCAGGGTTTTGTCAGCCAAAGGAGATTTCAGTACTTACCGGAGATCTAGGTGATGAGCACCTCCTTTAATGGTCAATGCAATTAGTGAAGGACTGAGGCTGCTGTTTATCTGAAAGGAGAAGGAGCAGAGACAAACTCTCACCAAGTTACCTGGCAGAACTGGACATGAGTTCTGACAATGGGAGGACAAGCTGTGCAGGGGTGAGGAAAAGCACAGGAAGAGATCCTTGGTATGGCAGATACCATGTGCATGGCTAACAGTCCTAACGAGCCAAATCATCTGCCTCAAATGAACTGAAGGTGAAGATGAAAGATGAAAACCGTCAGCCTGTTCCAGTACAGGCAGTTTGAAGTAACAGGCTCCTTTGAGTCCATGTACCCTAAGCAGCCTGTTCCACTTGCAGCTGGGATTGCCAGGGAGCTCCTGTGTTACAATCAAGAGCTGAACTACCTCAAAATCCAGTTCTCGGTCATTTTTTAACTAGAGCTCTGCCACCATTCTGAAGTTTTGTTGAACCCAAGCCAAAACACACCCTGAGTTGCTGCTCACAGCGACTGCTTGGTCTCACACAGTGTGCTGAGACTGGAGCCAGCAAGGAGCGCTTGGCTGTGAACACTGGGACCAAGTCTCGAAACAGAGACGTGCCAGGTTGTGGTTCAGATCCTGGGTGTTGGGTGCTCCCCAGGAGGATCCTGCTCTGCCTGCACTACTGCATCTGCATTCCTGGATGATGGATTCCTTTCAAGGTGTCCCTTGTTAATGTCCTGAGGCTCCTGAAGGGTTTAGCATAAATCAGCCGCTTGCAGAAACTCCAATGGGCTCAAGATGAATCAATCACCAGCCCTGCTCTGAGAGGGAGAGGGGAGAGTGTATCACCTGGAAAGACTGCTCTCTGTGCCCGGGGAGCAGGAGTGCACACACTTACCCCACCTCCAGCCCATGGGTCCAAGTCTCCATTTGAAAAAATGATGTTGCTTGCACTTTTCAGGTCTGAAATTCAGAAAGATGACATTGGAGAGAACTCTTTCCTGCCCATTTGCCCAAACGTATTTGGCTACTGCAGCAAATAGGGCAAGTACAGAAAACACAGGAGAATAAAACAAATTCTTGTCAGTTTTTAGGATTTCCACTTCTGTGTCAAGGAGGCACAGAAAGGCCTGTTTGGGTCAAGGTAGCAGAAGGCTGTGACTTTCTGCCAGTGCTTGTTAGAGCACTGTGCCTGTACCCACGGAGCCCAGCTGGGCAGAGGGTGGTACAGTCAATTACAGGGAAATGCAAAGGGAGGAGCAGCCAGCACAACCCACCTCCTCCCCAGAAGTTTGTCTGCAGCCAGCGTGCTCGTGGCTTCACGCGCCATTTGCTCCAACAGTACTGCTCGCGCATGGCTTCCGTGAAGGGCATCTCAGGGAACATGTCGGTCACGTTGTTGCTGTTGAAAGTTAAGTTGATCTCGGTGCAAACCTGAGAGAGGTACAAGAGCTGTCATGGGGCAAGGGGATAACCAGGGCAGCAGCTGAAACCTGCTGGTGTCACCAACACCTTACCTGGTAGTCCCAGGCCTCAGCGTCCGAGCCGGTGCCGCAGCCTGTGGGGTCAGCACAGGACTGGTACAGCTGGTATATGTTGTAACACTGTGCCGAGCCGGAGGAGTTGTAGAACACCCCTGCCAGGCGGAAACACAGCACAAAGCCAACCTGTCAGTACCTCTCTGCTGCCTCCCCCACCGCCTCCTGCATGAACCTCATGGCCGAAACCAAGCAGAGAGGCAGCTATCCCAGCTGGGCAAGTGGGCTGGGGCAAAGCTAGCAGGGTCTACACCAGTGTTAGATAATGGGCCCGACTTTATGCCAAAGCTTTCATGTGATCTCAAGCCTGGCTGTAGGATATCCTTTGCTTCTGCTGTATCCACGGGGAAGAAGAGGCTGCCAGGTGCTCTCTGCTCACACCAAAGGCCAAGTGACTGGCTCGCTAGTCATTGGGAGAGCCACAGCCTCCAATTCCCAATGCCCCAAAGAGCAGGCTGTGTACAAGACCTTAGTTGAATGCTTCAAACTGAACAGGACACAACTGCTGAGACGCTCCCACACCCTCCCTGAAAGTAGCTGTTGTCTGAATCCATCAGATTTAGTCAGAGGGCCAAGGCTAGCAGATCACAGACAGGATTTTGTTTGACTGTTGTTGGAGAAGGGACAGATGGCATGTGCAGGCTTGCCCAGATGAAACAGGACCTGACCAGGCGACCCAGCGAAGCGTAGTTGGGGAGCTGCCCAAGAATAAGCTGCTTTTTGTGCGGATGGGTAGTTACCAGATAGCAAGGAGGAGGAATGCAGCTACGCCAGTGGCCAGCCACTGCTGCCAGTGTCACAGCCCACAAGCAAAACCCACAAACACTGTGGGTTTTGTGCAATAACCAGCTCTCAACAGCTTCACTTGCAAACTGCCCCAGCAGCTCTGTGCGGGACACAGCGCTTAGTGCCAGCAAAGCACTGGGCAGAGGCTGTGGAGGAGGGAGGCTGCTGCAGCCACTGCCTTTGGATGGCTCAGTGGCGCGGGCAGCACAGCCTCAGCTCCCTCCAAGCATGAAGCTTTTGGTTCAGCTGCCAAAGCCTGCCCAGGAGATGCACTGAGTGTCTGCAGAGAAGAGTCCCGGGGCTGCTGCAGGGCTACACAGTGTTCAGAGCGATGCTACTGGGCTCGCAGGCCAGCACAGCCAGGCTCATGTCGGACACGTACCTGGCAAAACTCCTGGAAGGGCTCAGCAGCCTTCGCTTGCAGAGCGCACTGTGCGACGTGACACTGGAGGCAGAAGGAGTCTGCTTTCCAGCCCACAAGATCATTTTAGCCTCAGCAAGTAATTACTGCAAGGTCCTTTTTGTTGGAAATCTGACAAGAGTGAGGAGTCCAGATGGTAACGTCCGGCTGAAAGCCGTCAGTGCTGCCGGGCTGAGGAATGTTCTCAACTTCATTTACTCCAACAAACTAGAACTCTCATTGCAGAATATTGAGGAGACCTTCAAAGCTGCAGAAACCCTCCTGGTTCGGGAAGTGATCAAGCTGTGCTTTTGCTTTCTGGAAGGTTGCTTGAACTGTGAGAACTGCATGGATGTTCTTAACATCGCTAAAAAACTTGGCCCAGCAGAGCTGAGACAGAAAGCCATGTGCTACGTAGGGCAGCACTGCAAACAGATCCTGGCTGATCCTCAGTGCTTGAAAGACCTGGATCGAGGAACCCTTTGTGAAATTTTAGACAGGACCAACACCGAGGGATGCAGCGAGCTGGAGCTGCTCAGAGCCACCATGAGCTGGCTGCAGCATGACCACACGCGGCTGAAAGATGCAGCAGATATTTTAAGGCGCATAAGATTCCCTCTCATTCCTTTACAAGATCTGCACAGATATGTCCAAGAAACGCCTCTTCTGAGGCTGGATTCAGGCTGCCGCAAGTACCTGCAGGAGGCTCTGAATTACCACTCCCAGCTGTACGCTCAGCCAGTCCTGCAGACCCAGAGCACAAGCCTCCGCTCCAGTTCCACTGTGCTCCTCATCGCTGGTGGAAGAAGCACTGACAACCGTGTGTGCACAGAGATGTGGGCTGCAGACCAGAGCTGCAGCACCTGGCACAAGGTTGGGAACCTCTGTGTGCCTGTGTACAACCACTGTGTCACCATCATCAATGACTTCCTTTTTGTCATCGGGGGACAGTGCAAATTTGACCCCACAGGAAAGCAGCCATCAAATGAGGTAAGACAGAAGAAACCTTTGGCCTTGGAAAACTCCTGGGTGCAGGAGGGAGGGAAGGAGGGAGTCGTTCCTCTTGCCCACCACAGAACTCCCACCTCGACATATTTCTTAAAGCTCTGTGCAGTATAGAAAGCTCTTGGGAATACAGTTTCCAAACTCTGTGGGAAGCAATCAGGTCCTGTCCTGGTCTCACCTTGCTGCCACTATAAATTGTCATCCTAATCCGTACACAACTTCCACAGCACAGGTTCAGACACGTCCACATCAGTCAATCAAGCAACGCCACGAGTGCTACTCCTGTCCCCACTGCTGGTGCTATGGGATGGGACTCGCACCGGGAGGCATGGCTAAAGCCCCCCACTTCACTTGAGAACTGCCCCTTCCTTGGCTTTGCCCTTGAAAGGCAAATCTGCTTCAGCTCCCAGGACCTTCCCTTTCTACCTGGAGAGTAAAAAGACTTTGTGCAGGATTTTGTTTTCCTAGATGGCTTCAGTAAGCTTGCTAGAGAAACAGCATGTTTTTCTTTCCCATGCTTCCAGGGGGCTTATTTCAGTGTGGTACTTTGTTAACAGTGCCCCTGGAAACAGCAAGTCTCTTCCACTGCTTTGAAGGCAGGAGGCAGCTCAGCTGCAGTGCAGTGGAGGATGCTGAAGCAGCAGGAACATGGCACTAGCAGCTAGGCTACAGCCCGAGCCCACCACTCACCACGTGTGGTTCTGCAGATGCTGTCCTGGGCTTCCTAACCACGACTGACAACACAAGCCTGGGGAGGTATTTACTGCTGAACAAGATGGGAGTGAAAGCCCAGCCTTAGCAGAGTTGCTGTGCCCCTGTAGTGATGGCACCAGGGATGAGGGGAGGGGAAGCCACTCCTGCCATCTCCTGGGTGAGAACAGTGGGCAGAGCTCAGTGGCTCCCTTTACAACACACTCAAACAGTAGCAGAGATGCAAAATGTGCTTGTTTAAATCTCACTGAAAATTTTCAGCTGACATGTGCTAGCTGGTGTTTGCAACAAAGGTATTTCATTAAGCCAACACATTTTCTTTCCTGCTTGCTGCAAGCCGAGAGCACCATCTCTTCCCAGAGCCCGAGAAGGGCAGCAGGCATAACCCAGCCTCCAGCCCCACCAGGGAGGTAGGTACTGCTCTATCAGCTGGCTGGCACTGGAGGTCAAACCTGTCCTGGTCCAAATATAAAACCTTCCTCAGACCAGGGAAAACATTTATCAGTTCTTGAAGCCATGGGCGATGCAAGCTAGCCACCTGCCTTCTGCTAACCATCACTCATCTACTGTGATCCTAGGTTTTCCGATTTGATCCCCGCAACACTTCCTGGCTCCAGGTCGCCAGCATGCTGGAGAGGCGGACACGCTTCCACGCGGATGTGCTGTCTGATTGCATCTTCGCTGTGGGTGGTGGGACACTGCTGGGGACCCTCACCCGCACTGTGGAATTGTACCAGCCCGCTGACAACAAGTGGGAGTTCACAGCTCCTTTCCCCAAGCCAATTGCTGATCACGCAGGCACAACCCACAAGGGCATCCTCTATATTTCAGGTAATAAAGCTAGTAGAAAGCAGCATATTTTCATATAGTTTCATTGATTTTTGCTGGCATCTTAATGTCACAGTCTAAGCCTGCACCCGCACCAGTAACACCCACAGCTCCAGTGTCCCTTTCCTGCTGTGTTAGCACAGTCTCACTGCCCTCTTGAGTGGCAAGAGTTATTTTCTTCCCAAGACATTAAAGGTGACATCATCTGCTTGCAATCCACACCTCTGCTCGCCTTTGACCTCGGAATCCTGGCTAAATCCCAAAGCTTTGCTCTCTGAAAAGGTAAACCAGGAGCGGCCATAGTCTTGGGGATGGGATTAAACCCTCGTATTAATTTGAATGGAAGACGTGGGACTAAACCCTACTGTGTGGCTGTGTTAGTCTGTACAAAAAAGGAACAGAATGGAGGCTCTTACCCCTGAGCCCACACAGCTCCTGCCCTACACGGGATCCTCAGTCTTTATGGGGACCGTTGCGAGATGGCCCTGGAGGTTTAACAACAAAGCAGCAGAGTTGAAACACTTCAGGAAACGGTTGTAGGATCTTTAGCTTTTGCAGCTACTAATTTGGACTTGAAAGATAATCTTTGGTTTGTCCTAGGAAAAGAACTGTGCTGTTTGTGTTACTGCCTCTGCAGTTAAAAGCCATGGACCAGGCTGCCATCGCTGGAGGTTCCCTGCTTCGAAAACCAGCTACGGCCAGCTGGGATCACTCTTCTGATCTAGTCCTGGTGAACTTCAACTGCAGAGCTGCAATGAAGGGCATTTCTCTGTGCTGGACTTTACAGGCGAGGCCCCAGAGGCAGGCAGCACAGGGGCTGTCCTACCTTGCAGCATGGCCACCAAGAGCAGGGATGTCCCCCACTGGGTCAGCTGGGGCAATGGCTGAGGCCCCAAAGTCCCTGCTTTGACTCAGCTGGCCCACAGTGCCACAGGCAGCTCATTCAACCTCTGCTGGTCTCAATTCCTACCAGAGAACAAGAACATAATTGCCTCAGCTTCACACCATACCATAGTGAGCTAGGCTGGATAACACTGTACCCACTGGGTGTAAGATCTTGCCTACCTAGAGCATTCATTTCCGTCTAAACTAGTGGGGTAACTACCAATTTGATTTGGCCAGCCCACAGCAAAGCCCAAGCAAACTGAAAAATTAAGAGCATTACTTCAGTACCAGATTTAAACAAAAGCTCCATGCAGACAAAGTGTCCACACTTTGTGTCCCCACGTGAGCTGGGGCTTATGGCCAACCTGAGATACCATCTCCCTTGTTGGCAAAGACTCTCTGCAGGCTGGAATTCAACAGGCAGACAGCTGGAGGCATTTACCCTTCCCATAGCAGCACCGCCCTTCTGCAAGAGCTTTTTATAATGCACCCCTGCAATACACCAGCGAGTGCCTAGTGAGGAGAAAAGGTTGACAACAGCACTGGCAGATTGGCTCTGACCTTCTGTCAAAGACCTAAAGTTCAAAGAGTTTTGAAAGCTTTTCTTTCAAACCACCATTTTGTGACTGCCTGTGCTAGAAGCAGATTCCCTAATTAACGCTCTTCCTGGTTACACCTAAAATACCTCCAGAGCTTCACTCCAAAATCTTTTGTGGAAAACTATTTACAGAAAGAGCTGGAACTGGTTTGGGGCTTTTGTTTTGGTTTTTTTTTCTTTTCCTTTAAAATACCTGAGCTCAGGTTTTAAATTTCATACCGCATCAGCTCTGCAGAACGGTGTGAAATTTTAAACGCAAGCTTCTCAGGTATTTTAAAGAGAAAAAGATCAGCTCTGCTAATGTGTGCAGAAGGTTTGCTGGATGTCAGAGAGGATGATGGACAGATTTTCAAGACTTCTGCTTTCCTTCTAGGGGGCTTCTCAGGGGGTAAAACCTTACGAGACACTTACAGCTACCTCCCTCGCCTCCGACGCTGGATTGGTAACAGTGCCATGGCTTTCACCCGCTGTGATCACGGGATGGCTACAGTCAGGGACAGGATCTTTTGCATTGGAGGAAGGACACTAAAAGGAGTGAGTTAATTTGTTCTTATAATGCCAAATGTGCTGCAAAATGATGTCTCTGTATTGCTAGGCCCTCCATGTTGTATTCCAACAGGCAGTAACTTTATTATTTTTGGCCTCTTAGCGGATCAGCACAATTGCCAGGCCAATAAGCATATGCAAATGGGCCTGCCATTACAATCGTGTGCATTGGAAGCTGCCCTGTTGTCACACTCTATTTGCTAGAGTACAAAGGCTGTTTAAAGCATTATTATTTTTTTTTTTAATAAAGAAAACATGGTGGAGGTGCAGCCTGCTCACACAGGAAAACCTAAGTGTAGAACTGGTCACGTACCTTCTCCAAATGCATTTATCACCTGATTTTTGTTGTTTGAACCAAGAGGGGGAAAAACGCTGGCAAATGGAATGAGATTTTAGGAAAGACGGGATCAAGTCCTGGAATGCAAATGAATTATTTTCAAACCTGTATTTCCCACCTCTGAAAGAGGAATTGTGTTCATCACAAAGTAACAAGAGTCTCACTACCTACCCTTCCAGGGAGGGCAAACTGGGAAGAGACCTGGCTGGGACTGAAAGCCTCACTCCAGCAGAGTCCCATTCCCTGAAGCCAAGAGAACTGAGTTTTTCAGGAGTGATAGTTTTTTAAAATGATCTCAAACTGAGATCATTGAGCAATTCCCTTTTAAAGTGTGAAGACTCGGGGTCTAGTCCCATTTTACCAAGATGGGTACAGTTTCTTTTGAAGGAACACACGGATGTCTTAGAGTACTTAACTGCTCACTGAGGAAGGGATAGAAATTTATAAAGACAAACTGCACATCCAGGCTGACACCAAGTTTGTCCAGATGACACAAACTCAGTTATTGTCTACAATTCAATACAATATAGTCCTCTTTAGATGGTTTCCTTCGTAATGTGTTAAATGTCCAGAGAACAGGGAGGACGTGGGCTATGCCAGTTCGAGCAGGTCCCTGTAGCAACTTGCTCAGCTCACTCCTCAGATTTTCCAAGAAGGAGAAAGCTCCTTTAAAGCCGTGCCATTCTGGTGTTTTATTCAGTTTCTTCCGAGGCTCTTCTACATTGCTAAATGTGGATTGAAAATCTGGCACCCCGAGTCCCATGGTATTCAAACAGATGTTGAAACACTGGTTTCCTTTATCATCAACCAAGCAAACCTGATGTGACAGTGACACCCACTTGTGGTGTGATATGATGAGTCAGTGTTAGTCTGGTTCTTTGCAGGCAGAGGAATGGATTCACGTCAACGAGATGGAGTATTATTGTCCTGTGAGCAATCAGTGGACAACGCTAACACTATCCCCATTCAACTGCTGCCAGTTCAGCATCACAGCCCAGAACACTACGCTCTACCTCGCAGGCGGTGGGTCACTGCAGCACATGCAGAAAGAAGACAGCGTTTTCCTGTACGACACAGAGGGGCAGGTGTGGAAAAAAGCCAGTCCCCTGCCTACAGCTCTGGTGGATCATGCCTCTTGCATGATTAAACTGTCCCAAGTGAATGTAGCTAGCTGGTGAGATGGGGAGAAGCATAAATGGCTCCCCTGTGGGCAGAAGGAAGAAATCTACTCTCAGCTTGTTCATCACAAAGAAACAAGAGTCTCACTCTGCCTCAGAAACATAGTAGGATGTAAATAAGTCAAGCAGATCTGACAGCGTTTGTCAAGACAGTAGTATTTTAACAAGTCTTCTATTTGCCAGCCAAACATCTTTAGCAGTGATTTGGAATTGGTATGTTTTTGACTTGGTGCTATCATGGTGACATGCATAATTTACAAAAAAATAACTACTTCAAATCCTACTAAGCTACATTAAACCCATAAGAACTCCTTAAATCAGTTTTTTGTCATTCAGAACCTGCTTTTCTGTACAATGTAGAACTTATTTTCAATGAGCGACTTCAGAGATTTTACGAGGAAGTCTTCAAAAGAGCTTTGAATTCCACCTTTAACAATTTCCTTACAATCATTGCTGGCTGACAAATTAAGTACAGGCAGAGATACATATGCATGATGTATTTAAGACTGTCTTCCCACTGGATTAAGACCATAGGGCACTGCAGTGACAACTTTGTTCTCAACAAGCAGACCAGAAAACTTCCTTCAGTGAAGATGCATTGAACCTGTGTCTGCTTGAGCCAGAGTATGGGTAAACTTTTAGAAAAGAACCAAGTGTCTTAGGAGTCCTCATCTCACAGACAGTCAACAGCTAAGGGGCTGGAATGGCCAAAAAACCTGATGAGGATAAATTTGGAAAGGTGCGAGAATGAACCCATGGCCACCACAGACATGCCGATGGACAGAGCCAGTATGGGGCAAAATGGGAGACTGGAGTCAAACCAGCTCCCATGATACACAGCCCACACAGCAACGCAACAGCTCTACTTACAGGTGCTTCTAGAAAACAGGACGCTTAACAAAAGACAAAATTAACTCACCAACAAGAGCAGCCAGGCCTTGAATTGGGTCTGTGTGGGCAAGGATTTGTTCACAGCCGACCTGGAGGAGACACATTACAGGCAAATTGCAGACAGGATAGTTAACAGTCTCTGCTCCGCGGAAAGGCTAAGCTGGAAGATTCATTAAAATTGCCACTTAGACATTTTATGGCTCAGCAGCTTTCCAAGGGCCTAATTGCAACAAGTTTTTGGGGTATTTTTCCTCCCTTCTAGCAACAAAATACATAGAAACAAGGAGACAGGGCTTTACCAAGGTAAGCAGCTGTGCAGAGGCCACAGTGATAGAGAACATTTCCTCGATCCCACAATCAGAATATTTGAATTCCCTTCTCAAAGGGGGTGGGGGTGGAAGGGGGAGGATGGATTATTTCCATTTTACAGCTTGTTAAACAGACCCTAGAAGGGAACTAGATTCTCAGGGGAGCTAGAGACAGCACTCTCTGAGTCCCAGTACATCATAGCCTGAATGACCTCTTGCATATATCGCTCCAGGTAGGACTCAAACCATAAATGCCACAAGGCCAGAGGCAAATGGTGTGGGATCAGCATGGTGTGCAGCAGAGAGCAGCAGCAGGCAGCTTACAGCACACCAGAAGAAACCAAGGATTGTAACAGCAACTGGGGATCTAGGATCAAAACTGGGACCTTTCCAAAGCAGTTGGTGTCTCAGAAGTCTTTGAAACCTCCTGAGAACCAGGCCCCTTTCCTATGCTTTGCCATCTCCACCTCTCTTGAAAGTTTACAGGTTTCCCAGTCCGCCAGCAGCAGACATTTCTCTGCATTATCCGCTGAGGTATGTCATCTTCCTGGGCAATACTTAGAAAGGAGGCCAATTTTTAGGTCTCCATCCCTACCCACCAAGAAAAAAAACATCTGTGAAACTGTGTTGAAGTGGGTTAACAACAAAACTACATTTTTTTAAAAGTTACCGGTTTTTAGTGTTTAAAAGCTGAACTCAACAAGCTTGCACAGGTCTTTGTGTTTAAGGTAAAGGCAGAGCAGGGCAGGAGTGGCTCCAGCAAACCCTCTCTGATTAGACTTAGGGCATTTCAAAAACAGCAGTCAGCATCACAGAGAAGTTTAAAATTTGTAGATTTATTGTCAAAGTGCAAGGGCTGCAACAACCACCACCACTTGCCTCTTTCACTATCACCAGTGGCATGCACCTGACAGTGCACTGAGGTGCACAGCAGAAACCACGACTCTCACCCACATCCTGGTACTCACCTTCACGGGATTGGCAGGGAGGTGACCCATGAAATCCGTTTTGTAAGGATAGTCCATCATGGCCATCATAGTGAAGGCATTTCTAGCAAACCCAAAAAGCTGGTAAACATCCTCCTTGTTAGATATTTTATTGCATGTGGCCATTTTCCTGCTGATTTCATTGTAGGCTGCAGAAGGAAGGAAAATGAAAAACACAAACTTCAACAGAGGAAAATAATACCAGCCTTTAGTATCTTGTTTCACTCAGGAGTAAGAAGATGCCGTTAACACACAGATGAGGTTTCTAGTGGGAAGGACAGATTACATCTAAATTTACACACACGTGGATGTTCAGGCACAGCCTCCCTGTGCAGCTTCAGGCTGCCGCGTGGTCTCCAGCCCCCAGCTTGCCCCTTGCAGAGGCACCACCACCACCCTGGGGAGCCCAGAGGAGTTGGCTCCCACTGCAGCAGAAGCAGTCCTGGTGGGCACGGTGAGAGGAACTACTTGGTACAAGCCTGTCCTTGCTGGTGCCCTGCCTGGCTCCCTCCCCAGGGTCTGCTGTGCCCTGCAGGGCAGCCCCCCGGGCAAGCTCTCATGCAGGAGAGCAGGGTATAGCATGCAGGCCACACTGCGATTCATCAGTTGGAAGAACTAGCAGGGATTAAAAAAGAAAAACAACAAAAAAAGAGCTCTTGGGAGCTGGGTACATTAACAGTAAGAATTGCCAGTAGGTACACTCCTCACAAAGTCGCAAAGGACTCCTGAGATGCGCCTTCAAACTTCAGTGTAATGCAGAGAGGTCAGCCGTAGTCAGGAAACCAAAGTGCCTTCAAGATGCACTCATATGTCTTTGCATTTCTACTGGGGAAAGCTGCTCCCTTCTTTTTCATCCTCCACATTTTAGAGTCGTGGTTCCTGTCTGTCTGCATCATGTTCCTCTACAAGCCACCCACTGCAGCCTGGCCGTCTTTATGTGGAAGCCCAAGGTCTGTGACCTGCCTCTGGATACTCACTTGAGAGCCTAGGCCTTAAATACAACCACCTTATCCACCCTGATGCAGTAAGTGCGGCCCCAGGCAATCCTTGAGGACTTTGGCTATTTAACTAATATTTTTCCTGGTGTGACCCAAAGCTAACTGGGCTTTGGACCCCCAGCTCCTCCAGCAGCTCCAGGACCAGCTCCTGCAGCGAGGCAGGGGGCACACAGCCCCTGAGGTGCAGCACCACAGGCCAGGCCAAGCCAAGCCTTGAAACAGACCACGAACCCACCACAATCCTTCCAACACCACACAGGGCTCCCAGGAGATGCTGCATCGGCCCCTGGTATCTGCTCTGGCCTACTTGGGAGACATTGCAGACATCTTCACCAGCCTCTGTCCTCCGCTTCACCTATCTGCCCAAGATTGGAGATGAGAGACTGTGATGGCTGCTTCAAAACCTAGATTGTGTCCAAATATTTCTTGGATATGTCCAGTGAGCTGAGTCACGCAGTTGTCATATGATGTGGGTGTTAAGGATGAGCATCTGGTGAAATACAAGGTTTTACCAGCATAAAATGCAGGTGTTTTGCACCTGCAGGTGGTTTGGCACTTCGGTGCAAAAAAGATGGTTTCATGAACACTGTGCAAGCCCCCACAGAGATGCTTTCATTTTGGTGTCAGTTACTAATTTTAATGCTAATTGAAACTGTTCTTTAAATAAAAATCGTGTCAGAAGGAAGAGGCAGCCAGGTGGGCATCTGCATTGATTTAGCTGAACAATTGAAGGCCCAGCTGAAGTAAAACTGAGTCAGTCTTTTTCCAGGTGGCTGGGAGTGCCTGCCCAGGGGAACCCCCTGCAGGGCTGTCCCTCCTTACCTCCGCTCAGGCACAGATCCTTAATCTGCTGGAAGGCTTTGCGGACAGCTGTGACGCAGCCTGGGCTGGATTTCTGAAAATCCTGAAGGGACAGAAAAGACATGGGATCACAGTTGCACAGAGGAGACATGTGTGGAGGCTGCACTGGGAAGAACTGCCAGAAGTACCAGGAAATGAGAGGGGTTACTGGCCCACTGGTCAGAACCTCATCTGCATCTCCAGGAGCAGTGATACTGGTGTTTCCTGCTTGTCCTGCAGACAATCAGCACGTCCCAGTAGAAGCCAACAGTCTGCATATCTGAGACCAAGCAGCAACTGTTTCACCAGGTCTCGCTGGGAAGAGCTGTTAGACAAAATGATTTGCACTTAGTGGAGCCACTAGACTGTACATGAAGCAGTGAGACACATGCCTTGGCCAGCACATGTGAAGAGGGTGCCAGGCTACTAGGCCTATAAGTTTTTTGTTGTTTTGGTTTGTTGTTTTTTTTTTTATTCTTTTCCAAACACACATTAGATTTCTTCCAACTGCACTTTGTCTACGAGAAGGAGCCACGAAGAAGGCAGTTATGCATGGGGGGACAGAGCACTGTTTTTTCCAAGGCCTGCTTTTCGTCTTTAGCTTGCCAGTGACCTACCAGGTGACCAAGGTGGCCATGTCCTTTTTCTTGGGAAAAACACCAATCTGAAAAAACACTTCAAGGTGTTTGAAGAGCTGTGGCTGGTTATGCTGGTAGAACAAGTTGTTTCTGTGACTGAAGACTCTAGCAACCGAAACTCTCTTCTGTCAGCTTGTAAGGCAGTTTGAGATCTGCTGGCAACCAGTGCTTTGTAAAAATAAGAATTATTAGGGCTCTTTTAAAGTCTGTTTACCCTGCTAGAGCAATGATTAAATAACCACAAATCACTAGCTAAGCAGTTTTCTTACAAAGACTCAGCCTCAACTAAAAATAGATTTGGGACCTTTCTTTTATTCCTAACTCTGCCTTTTTGTCTGATAGGCAGGCTTAGAGAAATCACTACTGGAGTTTTCCACAGTTTACTTAGGCATCCCTTTAGGGGTTCCAAATCTCCTTCTGGATGTGCTTCTTGATCTTAATCTACTAACGGCTCTAATTGCAGCATGAGGAGGGATCAGCCTGGGACAGAGAAGCAGGTCTGCTCTGGCTGCCATGATAGCAGTGCTCCCCTCAGGGCACTGCTGGAGTGCTGCAGCGCTCTCAGCATGCTGCGGACCACCACCTGTTCCAATTCCCCCCACAGACCTTTATGGACTTGGGAACAGCTCAGCTGAGCTGTCGCAGAGGCAGGAGGCATTACAGCCATTCCAAGGAAAGCTCTTCCCCCTCCAGGCTGCCAGCTTCACTCTTTAGAATCACAGCTAACTCAGATGTCTAAGCTGACCCAAGCTAACGGCCTGGGCAGCCCCTGCAGCAGTAGCCTTACGGGAAGAATGGCAGATGTGGCTGTGTGTGTAGTACTCACACAGGGGCTTTCTGCCTGGCTCCAGGCAGGTTAGTTGGCATATATCACCTTGTCTTATGTAAATGCCTTATACAAAACAAACTTTCTGCCCTTTGCTCACTTCCTCTGGGAGCTGGAAAAGCTCAGTAAAAGTCACAGAGAAAGCTGCTGAGAGACAATGCACTCTGACTCATGGGGAGAGAGCTCGTGCAATGGCAATGATTCGTGAAAGGTTTGTGTCTTCATTAGTATTAATAGCTCTCAGGGGTGTTCTCTCACCAAGAGGAGCAACTGAATTCAGATTTCAGATCCACAGATTGCTTTTATGCAAATACACTGAAGGTGGAAAGAATTACTTTGAAAACAACACAAAGTGCTTGCTTAGAATCTCAGCCCAGAAGACAGCTTACTACTGCAGACAGAATATATTTTAAAATTAATTGGAAAGTCTTTTCACATGAAGAGGTCAAAGGCCTAACTGCAGGGGTGTGTAGTGACTCAGAGCATACTCACAGCTGAAGCAAGACAGAGCTATCAGCTGAGCAGGCTTCTAAGAAGGAATTACCTTCAACCAGGGAAAAATTCCCACTGCAAGGCCTGTTAGATAACTAAGTGGTATTACACTTTTTGTTTTAAAATGTATAATTTTAAGATGAGATGTCTTTTATTCTTTTATATACTTTTATTGTGTTTGTATTCATATGATGGTCTTTTCTTTACACTTACAAGTAATGCTACCTGTCCTGTAAGTCTCTGCATTGAAATAAAGCTTTCATGTATGTAAATAAGAGCAAAAAGACCGCAGGTTTGATACACAGGTAGTTCATGCAAAGCTATGTGTGTCACCCAGATCTAGAAATCCACATCAAAAAAAGAGGCAAAACAGACACCATCGCAAGATTTCAGTAATACCAGGCAGTACACTTCTTTTCTTATAAACTACATGTAAGTCAGTTCCAAGCAATACTACCTTCCTATAGGTCCAATATCCTCAAAATGTGAAAGCCACATTTAAATTTTGGTTTTAAGTGAACCTAGGACACCTTGCATTTTTTTGGTTAATGGAATGAAGCTCTTCATTGAAATGCAACCATCTTAGGACAAAGAAACTGCTGTGAATCACTGATATCAATGCAAAACACAGCATTTTGGGAGAGGATTTGAAGAATAATTTATCCAAAGGGGGTTCAGCCAGACACAAGGGAAAACTTTCAGGCTGTAATATGGTTAAGTCACTAGAAATGGGGAAGTGAATCCTTAGTGGTACTAAAGGTGCTGGAACCGAGTTGTGTTGCTCATCAGGGCAACTTTGGGCCCTGAGCTCCCACAGCTGGGATGTGCAGTGCTCAGCCATCACGTCTGCAGCTGCTGCTTTTCCTTGCAGGTTCTCATTTAATCACACTCCCTGCACAGCACTGATGCTGTGAAGATAGATGTCTGTTTAAACACACAGAAAAGGAAAAAAAATCCAGCCTTCTTAAAGGAAAAAAATGCTTGTCCTAAAAAGAGCACATACTTACTGCTGTTACATCCCTGAAAAACTGGGTGGGGTCTCCAAGGCCAGCCACAGACAACAGAGGAGCACTGGCAGCTAATGCTCCAGCCACAATGTTTGGGTATTTCATCCTCATGTAAGCACTCAGCATTCCTCCATAGCTGCCACAGGATAGACAAAAGAGTTATTTCCTTAACAGACATCTTATAACATAGTAACACAGCAGTTTGGG